TTTAGATTCCACATATAAGTAAAATCATATGGTATTTGTCTTTCTCCGACTGACTTATTTCACTTAACATAATAGTCTCTAAGTCCATCCATATCGTCCCAAATGTTACGATTTCATTCTTCTTTATAGCGGAGTAATACTCCATTGTATAAATGTACCACAGTTTCTTAATCCAGTTGTTTACCGATGGGCATTTCGGTTGTTTCCAAGTCTTGCCCTGCCCCCAACTTTTAATAGTACAGTCCTCATTTTGGGTTTATCTTAGATTTCCCTATGATCAGTGGTGCATTCTTGGCCACAATATTACACAGGTGGTGTGTCTTTCTCAGCATGACACATCTGAAGGTACTTAATTTTCACCTGCCTCCACTGGTGATTTCAATTTTGACCATCTGGTGAAGCTATTGTATTTGTGCCTACAAATGGCAATTTCATGATTCAACCGAATACATAGCCTTCATTAAGGTTTTATAGGTGTCACCTGACCTCTTTGATGCTCAGTTTCCTCCATCTATTAAGCGTGGCTAGTAGTAATAATTTCTTTCCCATGAGTATCATGGGAAGAGTTAAATCCGGTAATGTATGTAAAATTTGGTGCATGAAAAGCACCCCGTAAACATTAGCTATTATTATTGCAGCTAGGCAGTGTTAAGTCATCTTGGTTTTGATCTTCCTCTCAGACTCTCCCAATTACAAGCAAAACTAGGACAGAGGCAAAAGGATGCGAATGGAGGCAGCCTCAACGCTGCCATTTCAGTTTCCCCATCTGTAGAATGGGGAAATGCCTCCCACCCCACAGGGGTGCTATGAGGTTGAATGGCATGTTTGTAAAAGTGCCCGGACTTAGGCTAGGTTCTCAAAAAAAAAAATCATGAGTGATTCATCATAACCTGTTGTATGAGGAAAACAGAAATATCTCTCAGATTAAAAAAAAAATCCAACATAATGTGGATCGTTCTGAAGCAGTAGTAAGGTATGAAAAAAATAGTCGGAGCCCAGGACGTGGGAATCGGCACCAATTTAGCAGCTGGGTGATCTCTGGGCAGATTACCTAACCTCTCAGAGCTTGCATTGTAATTTGGGGACACAATCAAGTGCACAGCCCTTGGGATTTTTCTGTTAATTAATGATGCCTAGCAGTACCTGGGCACTCCATCGGCGACATCTGAACGAAGGACGCCCGGCTGAAGCGTTCGCCTGTGAAGCTGCCTGGAGCTGACTGAGTGCTTCCCGGGCTGGCGCATCCCAATAGCGCCCACGCCTGGGCCGGGCCGCACCCCGCGGGTGCCGCGGGAGCCGCTGTTCCCCGCTCCTCCCGCCCCTCCCACCCCTCTTCCCCACCTCCTCGCCACAAGCTCCTCCCCCGACCGCCGCGTCTACCCGGGCGAGTGCCCGGCACCTGGCAGACGCGCGGCAGCGGGGGAGGCAGGAGGCGACCCTCGGGCGGCGGCGGGGGAGGGGTGCGGGCGCACAGATGGGAGCAACTGAGAGGGGCGGCAAGAAGAGCCGGAGGCTGTTTTCTTCCCTGCGGCCGTGGAAGGCCACCCGGCGGCTGTGGAGGACGCGCTCGGCTCCCAAGGCGGCGCAGGGTGAGTGTGGGCGCGGCCGGGGGACCTGTTACCGCGCGCGGCCGGCGCGGGCCTCCGACTACAGCATCTTTCGCCGAGTTCTCAGGTCCCCGGGCCCCGAGGGCGGGGGCGACGCAACCTGGCAGTCCGGCCGGGTCGGGGCGACCCTGCACTGTGACCCTCGGCCGCGGGAACCAGACCAGTCCCTAAGCTCCCCCGGGGCTGCTCCACCAAGTGCGAGGGCCGGTCTCGGCACAGTTTCCTCTCCCCCCTCCACTCCTCGGCTCCGTGAGCATCTCCCGTTGGCCAGGTGGTGGCTGCTTGTTTACTTCCTGCAAAAGCCTGTGTTTAGCTCCGGACAGAAGGAACCCTGCGTGCCTCGGAGACACAGTCTTACTCAGGTTGCATCCCCCCATCCCCGCCCCCAACACCTGGCACCTGCAATGCAGTACCTATTGGGGCAATGAATCCGGACTCAACGCTACCTTCAGGGTTCGCTCCATCACACCCAACCCCCTTTCTAACCAGTCTGGGGGTGGCTCCCTGTTGTCTCTTAAGCTGTAGCTACAAACTATTTCCCAAACACATTCCACCCTGTCCTCACATTTATGAAATCACTGACTCACTCAATTCATTCATTCCACAATTTTTATGCGGCCCCCTTGTGTGCCAGGGCCTGAAATGAACAAGATAGGCAAGGCCCCCATCACAGAACTACTTCAAGAGGGAAAGAGACTTTACAAATACAAAACGGGTAAAAATCCCTACTAGGAATGGCAATGTGTGCTTAGAAGGAATCAGTCTGCTGGGAGAGGACAAAAGGCAGGGGACCCTAGCGGACATGGCAGGTGGACAGGAAAGGGCTCTTTGAGGCAACGCAATGGAATGAGACCTGAAGTCTGATTAGGAGTTACTCCAGCATGGAGCCAGGGAGAGCATTCCTGCCAGAGGGAATAACAAGTGGGCAGGTTCCTGGTGTGCCTGAACTTAGCGGGAGGAAAGTGAAGGAAAGGCCTGGATGAAGGTCTGGGTAGGCCATGTTGAGTTTGGATTTTATTCTCAGTGGGCTGAGAAGCCATTGAAGTGTTCTAAGCAGGGACATGACATGATCTGCTGGCTCACTGCCTTCTCTGTCTGCAATGGCCATGCCTTCATCCCTCAGCCTAGCCAATTCCTACTCATCCATCAAAGCTAATGCAAATGCCATCTTCGCTGTGAAGGCTTTCCTGGGGTTCCTGCCACCTGTAACCTTTCTTTTAGTATCTCGTCACTCACAGGGCATTTGTTGCTGTTCATCTGGTATTATAGATTCCATATGGGCAGGTTCTCATCTGCATTATTTTTGCATCAGGGTTTGGTATTTTGTAGACGTGTGTGTGTGTGTGTGTGTGTGTGTGTGTGTGTGTGTGTTGTGTGTTCTATCTTGTCCTTTTCATTTGTTTCCGTCATCTGATGATTTTTCTGTTTAGAGACTGACATGCCTTGATTTCTAAAATGGCCGACCTGATCCAGGGCAGAAGCTAGATAGCACTAGAGCCCTGTAATTGATATAGTTGTCACTTCCCCACTCCACGGTTGTTNACCCAGGTCTCCCATGAGCACCCTATTTAAAACTGTCACTTGCCCCTGTTCCTCCTCCCCTAACCAGCATTCCTAGGCCCCTCACCCTGCTCTACTTTTTCTTATATCCAGAGCACTTCCGTCTTCTGTCAAACTTCACAGCTTATGTCACCTGTTGTTTACGGTGTGTCTCTCTCACCCCACCCCCACCCCTCATAGGATGTGAGCACACAGAACAGGAATCTGTATCTGACTTATTCCTCATGAATTCCAAGAGCCTGCAATAGTATCTGACACACAGCACGTGCTTAGTTGATGTTCATAGCTTGTTGTCAAGAAATAAGCCATGTTTGTAAAGTTCTTAGCACAGTGCACAGCAGGGAGTATTATTGAAACAATAGCTCACACTTATTCATTGCCAGGTGCTGTTGTGTTTCCACATAACTCAGTCAGGCTGCACAACCGCCCTAGAAAATGGGCACTTCCTATCCCCGTTTACAGATGAAAGACTGACGCACAGAGATGTCAATGTAACTTTCTAATGTTTGCTGTGCCAGTAAACTTGAGAGTCAGGAATAGTGTGGCACCAGCGTCTGCTTTTGATAGCTATGCCATACCGCCTCTCGCAGTAAACATTTTTTTATATTTTTGGGTCCATTTAAAAATGAATCAACATTTTTCAAGGCCTGAATTAATGCTATAACAAGGTGCATTATAATAACATTATAATGCATGAAGTAGGCACACAAACTCCATGTGTGCCTTTCTACTACTTCTTTTTATCTTCTCATCTCACCCCATCTTTGCACCTGCCACCTGCCACGACAAGTCTGCATTGCAGGTGATGGATCCAATCCACCCCCATCGCCCCCACCAGCTGGCTTCAGCACACATTTGGCAGAGAGTGAGGTCCAGGGATTTTGTTCCCTTTGAAGTTCTGAGATCTTAAAAGTCAGTGCATCCTGCAATAATTATATAAATGTCTAATCACTATGCTGTACACCTGAAACTAATATAAAATAATATTGAATGTCAACTGTAACTGAAAAANAAAAAGGAAATAAGAATCAAACTTCTTCAGCCTTCTCTTAAAATACTCAAGACCTGACCTTGAAGCAAAGAAACGATAGCAAAACACCCCAGCATGAATCAAATATTGTTTTACAAGCAATGACAGATATAAAAAACCCCAGAAGTCAGAAATTCACAAATGCACAAGAGAAGGGGGAACAAAACAAAAGTATGTGAAATAAGAATTCACTGAACACAAAATGAAGGAAAAGACAATGATCTCAAAAAATAGGACTAAATTAGAAGATGCATAAAGAAAAGATTCAACAAAGTACACAGAGGAGATATGGAAGAATGAAATGAAAATTTACAAGAGAATCAAAAGAAAAAGGCTCAGAGAGAAAATAATAGCTATAGAAGGCAAAGAAGATCTAACACCTATAACTGAATTCTCTAAAGAAGTAAAACAAAACACTAAATCAAAACCAATGTTAAAAGCTACAATGCAGTAAAAACTTACAAAAATAAATAAATCCTGAATCTACACATTGAAAGGATACACTGTGAAACTGTGAAAATTGACTCAGAAAAGTCAACTTGAAGAAAACTCTGGGCCTCCAGGCAAAAAGACCAAGCTATTCAATATTCAAATCCAAACAACAATGGAACGACGTTTTCATGAAAAGGAAGTGTGAATCAAGGATTTTTATATCCAGACAAGCTGACCTTCAATTATCAAGCAAATGTAGCAAAAAATGTTTATAGGTCCTGATTTTGGGTGAAGAGCACCAGAGTAGTATTCTTTTAGCTTTTCTGTAGATGGGAATATTTCTAAACACTACTTTGGGGGAAAAATTTTTTTAAGTTAAACAAGTATTAACTATTTGTTGATCTTTTAATTTTTCCCTCTTCCCAGTCCTGGCAATCACTAATTTACTTTCTGTCTATAGA